TTACTTTAGCAGTTAGCATAATGAGGAAATAACAAAAGTGCTTTGCAATACAGTCAAAAACATAAGCCATTTGAAACACTTTCCTTCCACAAAAATTGAGTAAAAATGTTTTCTGGGATACTGTAAACTCTACAAAGCGCACTAAAATCCAAAAAAGGGAAAATTATGTAAAATAAATCAGTAAAACATAAAAAAACTGTTTAGTGACTAAATTTAATCATTTAACATTGAGTATCTATAAATACCATTACATGATTTATGAAAATGTTTTGTATATATTCACAATAAAGAGCTATCAAAACTTTCTTGAAAGAAAGTCTTATTTGTGTTTCTAGGGCTGAAAATATCTTCACATTAGTACACATAAGTCACATTTACATATTATAATCACACCATAAAAAGTAATTTTCAGGAAGGCATAAAACTGGTATGTTCAAATTCTTTCTATAGATACAATTTTCAAGTACCAGCTCTTTAACAGCATGTTCAGTTAATGAAATAATCATACAGGCATTTAAATGCACCTGCAATCCTGAAGCCTTACAATTCAGCCTACCTTGAAAGAGGAATGGTCATTGTCTAACAGTGGTTTCTGTTTAAGAACAAAAACAAAGCAGAGAATATAGTCAATACCCACTCCTACCCTGCAAGCCAGGTGGAATTTAAGTGGCAATTTGATGTTCTGTTTAAGAGACAGCATTTGAAAATTTGTCCTAGTCACAAAAGAAAGACAAGCAACCGAAAGAAACCAAAAAGGTGGAGGACCTAAACCACTTGCAGCCTTCTCTGTTCTTACATTTACTCTCATGCTTCCACACCGAGGGGAAAAAACAAACAAAACTGTGATGAATTATCTAAAAACATTTATTTTTAAATTATATTAGAAATTAATTAACATGGGTATACGAACATTTGAAGGAAAAAAAAGAAATAGCAGCAAAGGGAGTTTTGAGATGAGGGAGATAAGTCCTTCATCTCCCTGGCTCCTGAAAAAGAGAGAGAACACATTAAAAGTGTTGAAAAAGTTTTTCACCGCCCTAACTGTACCATGTTGGGAAACACATGCAATTTTTACTGTTCCTTAAGCACTCAGGATTTTGAATATGCGGTTAGATATTCAATTAATATCTGAGTTTAGCAAGAGACACTCACATATGCCAACGTATTTAATTTGTCTGTTTCCAAATGCTACAAAACCCACATTTTCTTTAACACTTACAATTTCTTTTCCAACTTCTTTTATACCATTATCTTGGCTGGCTGATGCAGGAAGGTTTTGCAAACCTTTTCAGTTACTGTCCTGTAGTAAAGAAAAACAAGTATCACGAAAGGGCGCTACATATGCCAGAATAAGCTGCTAAATTCAAAACAATACTAGTGTAAATGAGGAGAACACCCACACAAAGACTCAACTGACCTGTGCTCAGGATTCCCAGTGTTTTCAAAATGTTAGTTAAAGCTGCCCACCTCATGCAACATAAACCTGGGTTTAAAGAAGTGTTCCGTACTGAGAGTTACCTGTTAATTTAGGATTCTGTGCCAAAAGCTGCTATTCAGCACACTGCCAGCTGGGTGCCAGTTTTTTTTTTCAATGGCCAACAGGTTTAGCGTGGTGCCCCTTGAAACATGCCGATTTTCAATACTTTTACAAAGTGTTTTAAAAGCATATATGTGTCATAGGAATATGCTATACGCTCCCAATCCTATACCTTCTTACACTTCTGTGGACTCCCCACAATTAGACTACAAATCATAAAACCTTGCTACATCAACAAAAAATGGGGCCCATATTTTTTCACACTTATACTTCATAAATTCTACCCAGAGTCACTGCCTTACGCTTGTGAAAAATGACAAGCTGATGACAACCTTTATCTTACTATTATATTGCTATCTCCTTAGAATTTCAAATGTGTAATGCAAATCAATTACTTACAAGGATACCCTTTAAGAATTCTTCGTTAAGTCTCATGCCTTTTGCTCTCGTCTTCTAAAATACAGTGTCTGGTGAAGATCAGAAAACCTTCTTCCTACATGGAAGCATTGCAGATGCTGGAAACTATCAAAGGAGTCCACGTTGTGAGTGCTGTAAAAGTTGCTTTGATGGTATTTCCACTGTTTCCTGCAGACAAATCTCCATCATCAACTCCACCACAGTGAAATAAAAAAATGACTTTTGAACCCAGACGTCTTTGTGAGTGGTTTCTTCAAACACAAAGTAACACTGTAAGCTAATCCGCTGTTTGGCATTCATTTATATATATTTGCTCTGCAATTTCATTGTTTCAGATGCCATTAGAATGTGCCACCTTTGAAACAATGGACAACAGGAATGGGATGAAGTGTGAATGCTTATTGCAGACAGAGCTAATATTATTTCTTTTGAATGCCATCAACTGATATTTTTTTATTCAGATGCCGCTAACACTTGATGCCACATAACGGTATTCTGTGTTGATGACAGCACAGTTATTCTGTATCTGAGAGGTGGTACTAGCATCTAAACTGTTCAAAGGAGTACATGGTACTGCAGCCCACATCAAAACCCAGAGATCAGTATCAAGACATATAGAGGGATTATCGTATATTAATCGCCATATGAAATCTAAGAACAAACAAACCATCACCCTAGCTCACAACTGACACTTGTGTGACACTGTCAAAGTAACATGTATGACTGCAGAAGAATTATTTATCTTGTCATTCCCGTTTCACTATGAAAATTTAGCCTGTTCTATTTTTAATTTTGTACTTTCTCTTAGAGGATTTTTATATTAGGTTTTTGAGATTAAACACTGTCCATTAGCTTTCACTGAAAAATCCCAAATTACTAAATCAAACCCACCTCCTGGCAGTAAAAAAAGCTTAGGAGCACAAAACTTTTATCATGTATCTAGACATTTACAGATCTTAGTTTATGGATGTGCTCCTTAAGAATCAACTAATTTTAAAGATCTCCATCCACAAGAAATTATCTATAAACAAGTTGAAACAAAAACTGAGGGAAAAACCCTTTAAAAACAGGATTTTCACGAGCCACAAAACTATTTTTGAACAGTTAAATATATTGTTTTAAAATATTAATTTTGAAACTCTGATGATACCTATTTTCTGTAGTGATGATGAAAATTATGACCAAAAATTTTTCTTTTAGTGTTTTATTTTTAGAGTATTTTTTGAATCTTCATTTTAATTTGCTGCACGCATACTTTGGTTATTCTTCAGTTTAATGGGCTAACTACACATTACCTGGAATTGTATTTGAAGTCCTACCTCCAAAACACTGCTGCTACTACTAAATGTTAGTTTACATGTAGCCATAACTTATTCAACAATTCTTGGAAACCTACAAGAAAAATACTTCTTCCCCCTCCCCGATATCCCACAAAATCCAGAAAGTAGTTTCACTATTGAAAACACATCCCCTCTTTAAGTTGGATGCTAACTCTCTGAGTTGGGCAACTACTGTGGGCAGAAGGTCAGGGGCGCAGGTGAAGTACAGTTTATATTTATTCCTTTGTGCTATGTGACTGCAGTAAAATACGAATACGGCTCATGCCATACTGCTGTGAACTTGAATATTACCTATCTCTGTAGACACAAACACCATATCTTCTATCCCAAATATAAAAAAAATACAACCTATGTCCTTCCTTTCTCTTATCCTCCCAGTGAACCGGAACCTCTCTCACAAGACAACCAACAAAACCAGTCAAACAGAACCACAAAAGCCATCATTTTCATCTTAATGCCTCCCTCACCTATGATTCAGAAAACGGATTTTTTGGTTGACAGAGGATTCTACAATAATAACATAAAAGATTTTTTTTTTTATATGCTGCCAAAATACATTTTAAAAAAACCCACCAGTAGCAATGGGGTTTATTCTCTCATATTCTCTGAATGGAGAATGGAAAATAGCACTAGCTGGAACCTCTGCTAGTGACCTGAAAGGAGGTCAGGAAAGAGCAGAAAAATAAAGGAAAATAACCCAATTTTGTCCTGTTTAATGTTCAAAAGCAAAACCTTCCCTGTTGAGAGAAGACACTGCCTACAGCCTAGCTTTCCTTTCCGTGACACTGAACTTTGTCGAAGTGCGGATGCAGACTGTTTTACCAGCTATCACCCAGGGGTTTGAGACTCTTCCTTGGGCCAGACGCCATGAAAACGTGTAAATGACACAGTCCCTGCTCAGGAGAGCTTACAGTCTAAGCAAGCAAAATGACATACAGGAGTATGGAAAATACAGCTAAACACAAACAAACTTTGTATACATATAAATACATTTACATTTATAAAAACTATTAGAATAGCACCACTGTTTCTACCTGCCCCTCTGCCTAGCCATCATTACTTAGATGACTGCTTAATAGGGATCATGGGGAAGTGGGTCTTTAGGAGAGATTTCAAGGAGAAGATAATGGCCTTAACAATCAGTTCAGGGAGGGCACTCCATGCATACGGGACAGCGTGGAAGATGTTATATTGAAAACTTAAAATTGTGCAGAGCAGCATTTCTCCAGGTCAAAAGTTCAAGTGTTGTGTGCAAGATCCCTATCTCCTGAGACAGAGACAGCGTGGTCATGGAAGTAACACTTGGCCATTAAAAAGACAAGCGAAATCACTAACGTAGGACTACACTGAGGATATGTTACTGGCCACATGTTCTCTGTGGCTGCCAGTCAGCACAGTAACTGTGAGGAGATGATATGGAAGGGTTTGGAAAAGAGTTGGATACAAAGAAGGAAAAAAGGCAAGATGAAGGAAAGGAGACAAAAGGAAGAAATGTGGGGAATATTTTTGAATGTAGTCTTCTGTTTGAGTTCTTAGTGTGTTTGCAATTTATTAACTAAGTAACTAAAAAACATATACAATAATTAATGTACATTTGACACCATAAAATAAACTGGACCATATGCCAACATTTACATTATGTTATTATCCTTCACTATGGAAAGGTGAGAAACAGGTTAAACAAGAGACAAAATGCTTCCCCTTACCCTTCTTCTTCCGTACTGAAGCTTGGAAATAGAAAGGGAATGAACTGTGAATCAATTCTGAAGGTAATTTGTATATGCTAAATCCTTGTCTGTCATTTTGAGCATAAACATTTTTCTTCCATCTAAGAGGTTAGTCTCTCCCTGCTCGCCTCTGCTAGGCATGTATCTATCAAACCACAGCAGATAAACAGCTTGGCCAAAGCACAGTTTATCAGGGTTTATACCTTAACTGTAAGAAATGGCTTCCCTGTAGATATTAGGGATACACGTACAATTTTTTTTTTTTTTCTAAATTCTTTTCTATAAACAGTAATTGGGGCAACTTATTGATACCAAGGCTTTCAAACTATGATAATAGGGTGTTTTAAAATCTTTGCAGATGGGAAAGGAATCATCAGCACACATTATCTGCCATATTTTGGATTAACTCATTTGAAAGAGAACAACTGAGATGGTCTGCTCAGTATTATGAAGAACAGAGTAGCTAAAAACATGTCAATAAAACCATAAGTAGAGTTCAGAGCCAGGCAAAGGAAGTGACTGTAAAGACTGTAAGATGTATATATATATATATTTTTTTTTTTTTAAAAGATGTTTAGCTTATCTAGGAGAATTTACAAGTAAATATAGTCTAAGGGAAAACAAATGGGGAATTTCTATTTATCTTTTTCTTCTATTCCCTACATAACAAGGGACATTCAATAAAATTAAAGGCATCACATTTAAAACCAATAAAAAGGAAATACATTTGTACACAGCACATAATTAGCCTGTGGAATTCTTTGCCACGAGACATTATTGAGACCATGAGCTGCTTCAGTTCAGAAAAAAGATTACACATATATATTGATGAGAACATCCACAGTGTTTGTCTATATATACTTCCTATTGAGTTTGCACATTTATGTTATGAAACAAATGCTTATTCATTAGATAGTTTAATGGATATAAAAATGTGGGTGTTCTCATAGTTCATACAGATGTCCAATATATACACATATACATATAGAGATATATAAATTATATAAAAATGCACACATACAATCTGTGTTTTATGTCAGAAGACAACTTTTAACTGATGATAGTGAGAGCATTTACTCTTTGGAAGCTTGTTCCGTTGTGCAATTTAAGTACTCTCATTCCTTCTGATAACAGCCCTTTTACAGGACAAATATTAAAATAGGTAGACCACACATGTTATTTGTAACAGTAGTCAAATTGTTTGCTAGGGTGGCAAATGTTCAGAGTATCATGAAACTGGTATTTACAGTCTTGTTTAGGAAGAAGACAAATTTCTGCCATGCTCTAGTACTACTACAGCTTTATTAGGGGACATACACTTCTGGAACATGGTTCAAGACTGTTCTTCAGGATAGTAAAGTCTTGACACTGTAATAGTTGCCTCATCTGGATAAAGATATAGATGGGAAACGTGCTTAAAGATTCAGGTATGTCCCATGGCTGCTAGTCACAAGAGTTGCAGTGGTTTCTGCCAGCCGATGAGAAAAAAAAATAGCAGATCAAGTACTATAACCTGAACAGGGGAGTGAGAAAGCTAAAATATGATGGTCTTACACTGCAGAGGTGACATTACTATTAATAAGCTACTGTCCCCTAGAAGAGTGCTGCTTCTTTCTGCTTTAAGAACAGTACCTACTATGTAAGATGGAACAGTAAGAGAAATAGAAGAATATCCTCAGTTTGAAAGTGAGTTGCAGAAGGGGATAATGAAGGGGGAAAAATGGTGCCTAAGTATTTCTGTCCCCTTGGGAAAGTTTGTTGATAAGCCAGCCAAGTCTTACAACCTCTTAGCATTCCATGAAAGGAAAACAAATTGAAACACCCAGACCCAAAATGTGGCTCCAGAAATAATATTTTACATTTTAATCATGGAAGAAAAATTACGGAGCATTCACAAACTGTTGAAACCTTTAGTCAAGCTCCTAAACTTCCTGGCACAGAAAAATCAAATTTTTAGAGATCTATTAGAGCTAAATAATCAGACTGTTTCATTTTGGTCTTCATTTGGTTGTTATACCATAGAGAAGACAGTAAGCACTTCAGCAAGCCTTTGTTGGCAAGAGCTCCCACTGAAGCTATGTGACTTCGCTCACTAAAGGATAGTTGGGTCCATCTGCCCCAGAAAACACTGACTCCCAGGGAAAAACGAAGTGGCCACAAGACTTTGATTCCTTCCAGCTGGCCTTCATATGAGTCTATGGCATTCTTATAAAATAAAAGTATTTAAATCAATGTAGGGTTACATGGAAAAACGGTTTTATTGTAGGGTAGACTCTATTACTGTGCAATGAGGGATTAGTTTGTTTTTACACCCAATTATTACTTGCTAAACACACTGGTTTAGTGTAATAGACGTATATAAATATGCGCTGGGCTTTTCTCTTTGTATATATGTTCCATTCATAATATATTTATTAGTCTAGCTGCAGAAATTCTCCTTTTTAATGATCAAGCAGATTAAAACCAGGAGGAAAAGAACAATTACCTTCCTCACTTCTATAAAGTATCAAAATTCCCAAAGAATTATCTAGAATGTGGATGATCAAGCAAATGAATCTACCATCACATTTCTTAAAATTAGCAAATAAAAGACTGAATGCTCAATACTTTTTTATTACCAACAGTGAGAAGAATTAAGTTTATAACATGCACAGAAGTCAAAGTTATATAATAATATGCACTTTTTCAGATCAGAGTCTAATGAAAACAAGCTGAAGTTGAAGCTGCTTTAACACTGTCAGCTTTTTAACAACAGCTTCTGGCAGCTTACCTTTATCCACTAATGAGAGGCCACAGAAATTTAAAATAAAACAATATTAGATGAACTGAAAATTTAGAAAGCAAAGCTAACAAAATATGATACGGCATTACTTTTTAGTAGATGTGCCAAACTTTGATGATGCAGTAAATGTATCAACATTCTCTTGCGTAGCAGTAAAGGCACAAGTTTAAAAAAAAATTATTCATGCGAATCATGCATAGTTGAACTCTCCAAAGATGCAGCATTCTTAAAATCTTTCTGTGCTGTATACTGTACACAGTGCAGTTCCTTTTAGTCAATTTAGCATATAATCATATATATGTAGGGTTTGTTTTTTTTTTACGTTTCTATTATGCCAGCATGCTTGTCAAAAAACACTTTCTTACCCAGCTCTTCAAGCTCTGAGGTCATTGACTTAGACCGCAAGGTCAGTGCAGTGGTTGGAGCTCGCTTAGGTGGTGGTGGGGCTTTGCATTAAACAGAAGGATATACAGTGTAAGTAAATACATATCTCCAAAACACTATATTCACATACACAATTTCATATTTATTTAAAAGAATATGCTATGTTAAATAAGGTAATAATAAATACATACATGCAGAGAAAAAAACCCTGAGATGCTTTTCATGTGCTGAATTTCTATACCATTTGTACTTTCAGCGTAGGCTGTTCGACACATCAGCAAGCTTTTATGTAACAGGATACATAAAAACATTTAAAGCTAAATAACCGTGCACTTCTATTTTTCAGTACGAAAAAGACTTTCTAGAGAAAGTGCCTCACAGCAGTTGTGCCCCTCCTTCTAAGAAATGTACATAGCTAAAAATCTCGTGGAGACCAGCCAATCTCTGCCAGATTAATTTCATCTTTGAAGAAACTGTTAAATCTGAGAAATACAAGAAGGAAGATTCAAATTTATCTTCATAGTTATGGTGAGACTAGGGAAAACAGGTGATCCTCAGAATAAATAAGATCTTAAAATATCAAGGCAATCATCTAGTACAGAAACTAAAATCCAGCATGTGTTTTAGTATCCTGATAGCAAATGTTTCTGGCTGTCAGAAAGGAGTATAAAATCAGAAAAAATTATGCCAATGTTGGTAGGAGAGTTAGAGATTTCCAGTAAACAGAAATGGCTCTGGGATACCAGGAAAAATTAAGGATTCTTAAGTGTCATGGTCAATACTACACATCAGGCTACACCATTTTGACAAGAGGTGGCAAAGCAGTTTGAGGGCGAGAGAGTGACGGAGGAAAGAAGTAGACAACATTCTTCCTGTATCACCTATACTATGTCAGCATCATCCTCTCCCTGTTAAGCTCCATCATCTTCTTACAGAGGCTTGAATGACAGTATGTCATGAGAAGAAAAAGCACAGCTCAGGTTCAGTGCCAGATATGAAGCTGCATAAGCACTGCATATATTCATTTCAGTCTGAGGTCTGCCCTTGCCCAACAAGAGAAGTGACAACAGATCTGTGAGGGAAACCGCACAAAATACTGGATTGTTGAATGAGGCTGGGTATCTGACACCAGTCTCACTATATAGGAGACTGACAGCAAGAAAATCCTTCCACACAATTCCCAAGGTACAATGGCAACTGTGGGTAACAACAAAGGCTACCAGCTTCCATCAAAAAGGGACAAGATTCAAAAGTGGAAGTTTTCAGCAAATGACACATTATCAATAGATGGCTCTGGAAAAATAACAAAGAACTGGGTTTGTTTCTATAGAAATAACTTCCTTATGGGTTGTACACAACAGCGCTTTTATTTAACACCAATGAGACATATCCCAAAAGTCAGCGGTGAAAGGTTTGTTTAAAATATGGAAATAGTAATGCTTTCAAGCTAAAAATAATGCAAGATCATGGTTGGATATGATTTACTTGAATATAGCCTCTTTTCCCCCCACAAGGTGCTCTTATTTATTTATTTTTTTAATAAGCAATATATATCAAGAACACTCACAGTGTAGACAGAAAGTTTTACTCATGGAGAAGAAGGGAGCCCTCGGGTGACAGTTTCTAGCCCGCTCTTGTGCTGAAGAGTCAGGCAGCTGTGAGTGACAGTTCAAGAAAGTGGTGGGAGGAACAGGAATTTTCAGAAATGTGATGTGGCTGTACTGAACACTGGCTAGCAGCAGCAATCTTTTCTGATTAATGATAATTATGAGGGCCTAATGACTTCTCAGAGTAGCTGTTACCTGGAGCAAATTCAGGGGTATCTAAGGTGAAAGAAATAGCGCAAAATCCAGGGGGGTTTTTTAATCTTTTTTTTGGTGTGATTTTTTTTTTGGGGGGGTGAGTGGGAAACACATAAAAATTCTTCAGGGAGTAGCCCAATTTTATCATATAGGTTAACCCATAATCTCCCTTAAAATTAATATTATTAAAGAATCCTTAGGCTGGAAAAAAAAATTTGTCTTGTAAGTACCCAGACAATTCTTTCCCAAAGTCTTTGTGGCACATGATGCTATACTAACCTCTCTTGGAGTAGCTGCTTTCTTCCTAGCAGCCTAGTAGCAGAAAAAGTAGCTGTGCATGTTTTCTATGAGAGCAGGAGGGATTTTCCCTTACTGGAACAACCCCTGTACTTTCGATTAATCTAGAGGAATTTTCCCATTAGAAAAGTACATTTTTCGACCAGAATTTCAGTCTAAACATACTGCTTACTTTTCTTATTCTTACAGAGGTCCTTTCTAAAACACGTGTTTTGCAAAATTGTAAGTTCTCAGTGATTTCAAGAGGAATCAAACTAACCTCAAGTACATCTGGAACTGTTAAAAGATAATCTGTTCTTTCTGCTTTTTCTCTCTCACTACTGCAAGAAATTTTACTTCAATATTCATATATATACATGTATAAAGATCCATAAAGATGAAATTTCATGGCAAGCATAACAAGAGAATATTACCTTTTTTGTCACATATTAATGCATAAGTCAACAGAATTATATTACTCTAATTTAAATAAGAGAAGGATATTTCAAATTTTAAAAGTGAAGTCTATAAATCAGAATTTATAAAACAATAATTTCACGTCCATACTCTGTTTTCTGTGGAGCAAGACCAAAAGGACTCCATTAGGAAAAGAGAAAAATGTACCTTTCTTTCTAGCTGTGTCATCTGGATCAAGATTCCTGGTTACTGTGACAACCTTAAGAACTAGGTGATTGCCCCCTTGTCGAATCATGTTCACCACCTGCCTGTGGCCAACTTTCACTACATTCTCATTGTTAACCTGCAAAGAAAGAAAAAAGTCTTTTAGATCAAAATGCAGAAGACTTCTGTTCTTTCAGTTTTAAAAACTGAAGGTGGAAAGAACAGGAAGATAAGGAATTACTAATTACTGTCTTTTATAATAAAAATACATATTTAAGAAACAGCATACAGCCGACATTATTACAAGAAAGCAATGCTAACTTTTCACAAAATATGCAGCTAATTTCCTTACAATTACCAGTTTAGAAAAAAAAAAGTTAATGGGTTCAACCAAATCTTTCCCATTATATATCATATTTCAAACAATTAGTGTGCTACAACTCTGCACTTCATATACTAAAAAAGTGTTCTGAAATGATAGTAATTTTTCATGACTGTATTATCCACAAATGTTTATATGCATTTTATGCTCTCTAACATAACCAATGAGATATCAAGAAGCTTTTCTCTTCAGATCATCCACGAACAAGGATTTTCACTCTTGAAGTCAACTCTCATGATCAAGAGACATTATTTCTCATCATTTTCCTTCTGCAAATTTCTGGAAGGATCTAATGTCCTGGAAGCAAAGGCAACAGGGCCACAGAAGTCCAAGAGTCTCCATGGAAAAAGATGAAAACTGTATGAAGCCCTGACCAGCTATTGTGGTCATGCCAATTAAACTAAACAGCACTGCAACATTAAACTTTAAAATGTACTCTCTGGGTAATTCCTAGTGCTACATCATCACTTTTGCTCTATACATCTTTCCATAATATTAATTAATAGATGTAGAAAAAAGCATAGGCATAAAAACTGTAAATAAGCATGGATAGAAGTAATTAATTTATTCATTCAATCTATAAGAAGTCGCTGAAAGTTCGCCAAAATCTGAATGATAGCAGCATATAAGAGTGAAGTGCTGCGTGTGCTATTTGAACATAAGAGATATTGAGGAATGGAACCAGTGAAGAAGAGATGCTGCCAGAATACATGCTGGGAAGTTGATCTCCATCCAAAATTCAACTGACTCAGTTATAATTCACTGAGATCGGTGCCTTCCAAAATGAACAGTCATTTTCAAAGTAAGTGTTTTTAGTCTCCTCTATTCTGACTGGCTGGGCATCTCACACTCTAAAGAATTTACAGTTTAGAGAAAAATTTCTCATTAAATATTATTGCCATTTAGCAGAACAGCAAGCACAAGCAGACCCACTCCAACTTGAAACCGTTTTTTCATCCATTGTATCAAAGGAAAATCTTGCCTTTTTCAGGCTTTAGCTGAGACAAAATGCATTATGATAAAATAACACCTTGGTAAACCACATTTTTAATACAATACTGCAGTCAGAAGTCTCTGAACGTGCTGAACACCCAGACCTGTTGAGCAGACAAATACGAAGTTCTCTCATTCTAGGTGGAGGATACAAAAGAACACTGATTCGAATAAGAACATTGTTGGTTTGTTTTATTATACACTTTCTTAGCATCTGGTATTTAATTCCAAGATATGGTATTTATTTAGCTGCACCAGTGGCACCTCAATTTAATCTGCCTAAAACCTTTTAGCAAATGGAGTTATTAATTTACTTCCGAATTCCTTTCAGTATTAAAACCTCGACCAGGTAATTGTTTTCCACAGCAAAAAGATTCATGTAATTAAGAACCACAGAATGAATCTATCTTTACTGGAATTAAATTTTAAGGTTGGAAGCCAGTATGGATTACAATATAACCCACAATTCCGTTAAAAAATAGAGACCTCCAAATAAATCAAAAGTTAATATTAATTAAACACATGTACACTTCACTAGTGTAAAATGATAAATGTGTAAAATGATAAACAGCTTATGCAGCATACCATCTGTTCGCATCGTTATGTGCAATGATATTTAACATTTAGAGCAAGAGCAAATATATACGACACATTTTTTAAAGCTGCCTCAGAAGCAGAACCTGTAAATTACTGTTTATAGCAGCTTTGTTTAAAAGGCAAAGTTACAAAAGCTGGTACCAAAAAGATTTGTATTGCAAAAATAAAAATATTGATAGGAGATCTGAAGATTATTTAACTCAAAGAGTTTAGAGAAACACCTGATAACAAAAGAATCATTGAATCAGCAGAGCTGTACCTCATCTTCACTATTTTTAACTCCTCAGTGGGCAAAACAGTAGTATGATCAGAAAGCAGTGACATTGCAATTGTCACTAGCTTATAAGGAACTAAGATTTCAGTGACAGATTCTATATTTGTTTTAACCTTGTTCAATATTTTATATATAAGCCAAATGACTGCAGAAAAGGTCATTAAACAGAGTTGTAGCAGGTTTATTTTACAGTTTTCGTTTGATATTATTCAGCAAAACTTCCAGGTGTGAATAATTTGATGAGACTCTCTCTCGGCTTCCACCTCAAGCTTTGGCAGTGGGGAGATGACTACTATATCTCATCTAGGCCTTGTAAACAAGCTGCAGAAGGGAAGTTTTTACAATCAGTAAACTAGATATCTATTTCACCTGTGCCAATTCATTTAATAATCACATGTGCCCTTGGTATTAAAGATGATCACATTCTTTGAAACAGTGAAAAAATATTTTTATTTTTAGTGGCAAAGTGTTTAGAAGGATGTTCTATAAACAGTCAAACTAGCAAAGTTGGCTTGCAGGCACAAATTTGTGTCTCGCCCTCTTCAACCCAGTCTTTCAGCATATTTTCTGTGATCTTTCACTCCAAAACCTTAAGGTCTTCTTTTCTTTCAACTCTTCCCCAAAACTTTCCTGCACAGAACTTTCTTTCCCATGTCCTCCATAAACAGGTGAAAATAGATAATAGAAACAGAGACATGATGTGACTGGTTCCATGCTACATCAATGGTCATCCAACAAGCCAAATGCAACGAAAACCATCCTTTGGGACAGCCAAAAATTCCAGTAACTCTCCTCTATCCATTCCTGACTCTCAAAAAAATCCTCAGAACTTTATATTCTTGAAATTCATACTTTATTACCATTTGATTAAAATCGGGCAGTGGGATGGATGTTACTTTGAGTACTCTGAGAGAATCTGAGAAATAATTTCTGAAATAATATGATCTCATAGACCCAATGTCTTTAAAAAATAGCCTAAACTGGCAGCTGAACTTACTTTTTGGGTATGTATGAAATGTTCTTGAAGTGTTTAAAATGCAGCAGACTTCTGTGAATATCAAGATTTTTCAACTGTATGTCTCAGTACTTTTTTCACCTTGTACAATCAGTGTATACAGGTTTTTTTAGAGCACTACAATATTACCAGGCAGGAAAATTACAACTTAAGAGCAAGCCAGAGACAGAAATTAGAAAAAAATAATAGTAGACAATTTTGCCAGATAAATTTGCTAGTAGTGTACAATGCATTGTATTTCAATGTCTTGAAGTATTACCAGCCACACGGCTTCTACCACCATTTTTCATGTACCTCATGTCACGTAACCCTGTGTGAACCACTCAGTGAAAAGGATCAAATGACACTGAATGGTGTCAAGGACGGCAGGTGAGAAGCAGGGCTACCTAGCCTTCATCCCAAGTGACTGCACCACTACTAGTTAGCTTACAGCTAAAGGCAGCTAACATGAAAGAAATGCAAGCAAACAACGCTCGCACTTTGGTTGGTATTTAGAGGAGGTACGGATGGACCAGTTTGTAGCTATAATTGTATATAATATATAATAATATAAAACCAGTATAGGCAGCTGGTTAATTCAGACACTTCTGGATACATTTAAGACACTAAATATTCATATATTCATACATGACAGCAAACAATACTTGACATCATCTCTGCATAGTGAAGAGGTTTCATTCTCTTCTCCTAGCCGGTGGAATCAGTTATTCACACCGTTGACATTTCATGGTTTCCTACAGCAATGCAATATACCTGAGCAGGAAACATTCAGTTCTCCAGGACAGAGAGCAGTGTGTTGTGTCTCCTCTCCACCCCCCACCACTGTGACCACAGCAGACATCTCACTGCTCCCTCCAACACCCTCTTAGAGAAATGGAAGTACTTTGAGGCTTGCCAGGACTTAAAGCTCCAAATGAGAGACTGTGATCAACAACAACGTTTCTCTTGGACAAAGAGGTCTGAACAACGATGAAGAGTTCTCTCTCCAACATGGCCATTCTCTCAAGAGATGATTCAAAAATATGGAGTGAACCAGTGACAACTGACAGTCATAAATTTTACTATCTTTAATACCCAGCTCCACCACTCTGACTTTATCTTACAGAGCATTTATGCATAGCAACATCTAAACCAGACAAAACCCAATTAAAAAATCTTTAAAGTTTACTCAAGAATAAATAATGATGTGGTTTTCATGAGCAAAATACCAATCAGGTAATCAATTTTTTTTTTTTCTGAGTGAAATATTTCCTACATGAGAGAGCCCTCCATACAAAAGATAATATATGAACACCCATGACATCAATAAATTTCTCCTGAACTTTACAAAGAAAAAGATGTTCCTGCTCAGCAGCCGTATAATTCTGATAACATCAGAGACAAGTGCACAGGACTGAGAACGACCACAGTTTATTGAAGGGAAGAAGTTTAGAAAAGGATAGGATATGGTACAAATTGGTTTACAGTGAATATGAATGGAAGGCAGTAATTTGATGGGTGATTTCAAGAGATGTACTCTAGCTGAAAGGGCACCATAACAGAAGGCATGAAGCCAGAAGAGGAGGAGGGCAGAAGCAGTATTTAACATGAGATGATTGCTAAGAGCACAAAGGAGAAGCAGCAGGTATCTTCTCTCCTAGTCTATTTTTACAAAGACATTTTAGGTAATCTAAAATGCAGTAAGAGAGAGGACTACAGCAAGATCTAAGGCAGTGTAACCACAGAGCTGCTGCTGAGAGGCACAGAAAATCGTAAATTGGTTGTTTCATGTATAATTACGTCTGCACACCATAAAATGATCACTATACTGCCTACAGGGCAGCTGGTATTTACTTTAGAAGCAAGGTTAGAGATAGAATTACCTTGAAATTTGTTTCC